TGATAGGAACAGTTCTCAAACAAGCCAGAAAGATCTAAATACTCTCCATCAATTACAGAGCAGAAAAGAACTGCTCTCCTCTATCGGGGCTAGGAAAAGGGTCTCAGAAGAGGCCACATTTTCGCTGAGTTTAAGGATCAGAACCAGCTCAAACAGCAACATGGGGGCACCATGAAAGCGCATCGGGCGGTCTCGGTGTCCGCAGCCAGACCTCTGTTCCATGCCATCATCAGGGAACCTCTTACACAGAAGAGGCAGGGAGCAGTTTCCGGGCTGCACAGGTCAGTGTGGATCTGACGGGAAGGGGCAGCAAGCTCAGTTGACTTGCTGGTTCGGTTGGTTTTGTCCGCTTGAGGATAGACAGATGTTGACACATGAGGTTGGGACCTGACTCCCAGCACCCATGCTCTGCTCTCCAGCTGTGAATTCCTGCTACAGGAAGGTGATTCTTGACGATCCTCAAGTCCAGGGCCACAGCTCACATCTGCCACCCCAGGTTTGAGGCTTTAGCCGATTAAGACTATAGCATTCTTCGATGACTTCTTTCAAAACTGTTCCCATCTATTTTATTCCCTTTTAATGCAGCATCTCGTTGAAAGCGTTACAACATTACCTGCATTTCAAACTTGCGACAGGCGATGGGAAGGAATAACTTAGTCCTGCAGCAGGGTCTCCCTCGATCGAGGGATCCACAGTGCCTCCACCAGTTAGCTCTGCACACGTTTTCAGAGCCCACAGAGAGATTTTTTATTTGAAGGTGAGACTTGGGTCTCGTTTTCAAATCTTAAAACAAATCACAGAAATCATTAACGACACTAGGGTCTAACCAAGAAGCAGACAAAGAAATTATAGGGAAAATTTAATCTATTATGAATAGTACTAATAAAATGGTGATTCTGACAGAGAGCTCCGCAGACCTCACTGGCAATCACCAACAGATACCTTGCACAGAACACTGACAGAAGATAGAAATAACAGAGGCTAAAAAGAACTTAAAGATTGGAATTGTTGTGTAATAACATGATCATGTAAGGCAAAGGGCTAGACATAAGGCACCACCCAGACCTAGCTCACAGCCATGAACTCCTTTCTCAGAATAAATCATGAATATAATTAACGAGCACACTGACTCCTAAAAGCACATGTGTTCACGGTAAGGGGCAGACCCTTTCGTAGCTAATGGCAGCAGGCATGAGACAGTCATGAGCATGAGAAAACTAAACAAAAGCTGTGAAAATCCTGACATTTTCAGTTGGAGCAAGTTTGGGGAAAAAGAATCTTGGATAGTGACCTTCTGAGTCATCTACCCATGGGAACTGACTTCGGGTACAACCTAACAGCCTACCCAGCCATCAATTTGGGCTTTCTAATCTGTTTAGACAGTTTTAATAATAATACGCTCTACTATTTTCCAGTGGTTTTCCTTTCTAAGTACTTAGTATAAAATTTATTCAATTTAATTGCCCCACAGGACTGGGCTGGGGAAGATTAAATTAGATAATCTGGAAGGCTTTTCTAAAACAATTACAAAAGACCAACTCAACAAAATGCGATTGTCACCATAACAATGGTGACAACTAGGGTTGGTGTGGCCATCCTTTGCAGAGCAGAAGTGATGCCCTAGATTTGATCCCCCAGCTCCACAATAATAACATGATTTTTTTTCCCCCAAGACAGGGTTCCTCTATGTAGCCCTGGCTGTCCAGGGCTCATTCTGTAGACCAGGCTAGCCTCAAACACAGAGATTTACCTGACTCTGCCCCCTAAATGCTGGGATTAAAGGCATACATCACCACTGGCGAGCATAACAATGATTTAATTCATTTTATGTATTATTTATGAAAAAAAATCAACAGTGTGAAGCAAATTTAGATCAGTGATGTGTCACCTCTTGAAAAAGGCTTGATAAACAGGTGGCACCTGGGTACTGCTGCCAGGGGAAGGGAAAGCAGGCTCACCTAGATATGCTCCTTTCAACACACAGAAGATACTCTGTTCGCACAAGCAGGCTAATCTAGGCCGTCCCTGGAAAAGCAGCTTCCCTTTTTAAACTGCAAGGTTAAGTGTTCTTTATTCTCTTTTTATAAGTTTTATTTTCACAATTTAAGTCAGGGCCTTGTTAGGGTTCCTATCACTGTACTCAAATACCATGACCAAGAGCAACTTGCAGAGAAGGTGCATGTTAGCTTACAAACACTCAGGTCACGCTCTGTCAGTAAGGGAAGTCAGGGCAGGAACACAGGGCAGGGAGCTGAAGCAGAGGCCATGGAGGAACACTGCTTACTGGCTCGCTCTCAGGGCCTGTTCAGCCTGCTTTTTTTTTACTATCCAGGATCACCCTCCAGGGGTAGCACGGCCCCAATGAGCTGTCATCCCCTGCCTCACCCCCATCAACTAGCAAATTAAGGAAATGTACCACACTTGCCTGCAGATAATCTGATGAAGGCATTTTCTGAATTACGGTTCCTTTCCCCACATAATTCTAGCTTGTGTCAAGCTGACAAAAAAAAACAAAACAACCCCCCCTCCACAAAACCCACCAACAAGGACAGTCAGCATAATATTAAAAATATATTCTTCCAACTGGATCAGGCCCTCTGAATAGATCTCTGAAGTATTCGAAGGCCACCTGGCCAAACATCCTAATTGTCGTGCTAGAAACCCCATCCAATGACTGAGGGAACTGGATGCAGAGATCCACGGTCAGGCCCCAGGTGGGGCTCCAGGAGTCCAATTGGTGAGAAAGAGGAGGGTTTGTATGAGCGAGAATTGTTGAGACCAAGGTTGGAAAAAGCACAGGGACAAATATA